TTAGATAAGTACAAAAGACAAACGCTCATTTCTTTTTTAAAATTCAGACAATATTTCAATAAAACAGAATAAAAGTCCAAGTTTTTTAAAAAAATAGAAATTTTCCAATTAATATTTATTTTCAATAAAAATGTTAATTAAAGCTCAAAATTTTCATTTTCTGTACTAGACCTCAAATTCGTTGGACTGGACCTCTTTGATCCTACTAAAATGTCAAAACGATTGCAATGACACCTAGGCCCAACCAACTAGAAACAACAAGTCAAGACCACTACTTTATGTGAAAATTGAGTTACCGCTTACCATCATCTATCATATCAACACTGAGATATTGTAACCAAAACTAGGATATGTTTGTTTGGCTTTCATCAGTGATAGACAACAGTGACAAATGATGAAATTATGTTTGTTTTGTAGTTTGTTGGTTCAACAATACCTTTCAGCGATAAAATCATGCTTGTTACATTGTTGCTAATTCAGAAAATTTAGCCTACATATCGTTAACGTTTATAAAACAGTTAGTTAACAATCACTAAAAATTAATATATTAAAAAAAGACTAAAAAATTAAAAATAAATACCGATGGATAAACTAACGACTACAATGCAAACACGATTCTATTATCTTTACTCTTCGTTAACAACAATTAGAAAATAACAACACCATCATGAAAAAACAACATTTTTCTTGTGTAATTGGGTATCGTTGATGCTTACAATACAACGAATGTAGAACGAACAGAGTAAATACCTCTCTTTTTCAATGACATCATTATGAACGAATGAATTTGTGGTCCACTAAGGTTGGGATCGGCCCGTTAAAAAAGCCCATAAACCAAAAAATATTGGCTGACGAATATTTCAAAACTGCCATTCTTTATTTGTTTACATAACTCAAAAACATGACGATAATCAACCAATATTAAAACGCCACGTGTTCCCTCGCGGTCATTTATCATTGAATCGAAGAGCACCCGTCCAGCTTGTTTCAATCGTCGTCGTTTTTCTCTTTGATTTGCCTGAAATTTGTTCTCTTCTTTTGGTTGCAATTTCTCGATCTCGAATTTTCTGAGAGAATACAAAACTTAATTTCTCAAACCCCAGCAGATTCGAATTTAGGGTTTCTTACACCCATTAGATTTCGCGTCGATGGCGTCCAATCGCGGTGCGGGTGGTTCTCTATACGGCGGAGCTGATCCGTATAGATCTAGGTATATTTCTAATATTATCAGTTTCTCCTTTTCTGAAATCGATTCTGGATAGAGAAAACGGGTCCTAGATTTGGTGAATTCTGCGTAAAGTACAAGTATTTATCTTTGGTGTGTGATTTGTAGAGAAGGGCTAAGCACTAGAAATGCTTCAGGTTCAGAGGAAATTCAGCTGAGGATTGATCCTATGCACTCTGACCTGGATGATGAGATTCTAGGTCTCCATGGCCAAGTCAGGCAATTGAAAAATGTAAGAAACCCTCTAAATCCTATTTCGATCTTTCTACTTTTTATCTATAGTGCCATCTGTATTGTCTTCTTGTGGTTCTGAAGGATCATTGTTCTCTTTAAGCTTTAAGTTGATCATATGAATTTGGAAATTTGTCTTCTTTTCGGTTTTGACAGTGGTTAGAGCTTGGCTAATTAGTTGTGTAGGTGTTTTTTTGTTCAGGGTACTATGATAATGTTATTGTTCACAATACTTATCAGTCAGTCCACGATTAATTAGTTGAATCCACTTGTCTGATGTCTTTTGTATACATCTGTGGTTATTGTTTTATATCACCACCCTTCTTGAAGGAATCAGTCGACATTCTCTACAATTCCTTGTGTTTTACCTTGCACTTTTGCGCATTATTTATCCCTCATGATTTTTTGTTATATCGTTGATCGCTTATTTTGATGCAGATTGCTCAAGAAATTGGGTCAGAAGCAAAGTCTCAGAGGGACTTCTTAGATGAACTGGTATGTTGTTGATGTCCCTTTAGTTTTTTCTTTATCCATCATAGTAAATTGCAATGTAAGCACTTAACATCAGTAACATGCATTCATTTACTCTTCTTTACCTTTAAGATGAATCACTGATTATATATAGTATATCCGAATATCGGTTTCCTATAACTTGTTTCAGATGTCTCTGTTCATTATTAGTTGGGAAAATATAGTTTCATCCTAACATATGTTAGATAACTTTAACCGTAGCTTACAAAACCAATGAATCTTGATAAATCCAAAGTGTAGATTATGTTTACTTAGGATCTGGTCTGAACGCTGGTGGTGGGTAGGATTAAATATCTTCAATCTCACCTAGTTTGGTGAAATGCAGCAGGAAATGGTTACAGCTTATCATTGAGTTCCTGCCACTTTGTCAATGAGAATGTTGGTGTTGAATGTGTTCATTGCTTTTAGTTCGTTCTAGTTTTTTCTTTTGTTACCTAGAAGAACATCCTAGAGAAGATAATGACAAACAACTAGATTTGGTAGTGAGACTGCAGAAACAAGCATTTAGTGCTGTTATAAGCAAAATAAAATAAGTAGACGAAATGTTGTTCTTGTCTGAAACATAAAACGCTTCAATGGTATTTTGTTTTTGTTTGTGACAGCAAATGACATTGATCAGAGCGCAAGCAGGGGTGAAGAACAACATAAGGAAACTGAACCTAAGCATAATCCGTAGTGGTAACAACCACATAATGCACGTAGTTCTTTTCGCGCTCCTCCTCTTCTTTATCCTCTACATGTGGTCCAAGATGTTCAAAAGATAGATAGAGAGACTCATGGCATACTTGTGTTACCCCCCAAAAAAAAAACCTTGATGAATGTTGGATAAGTTGTAGAAAATATCCTCTAGATTACAAACATTTTGTGGTTCTTCTCGTTACCTGTTATATAGAGTGCCTGTTTTTCACAGTTTACATGAAGCAAAATTGTATCACAGAACAACAGCATGAGATATTTTAGACCAGTTCAAATCTGGCCTTAACCTGATTAATTACCCGTCCGGTCCAATTAAGTATTGGGCTTTCATAGTCTTATGGGCTGAAGTGTCGTGATACGTGTATAATTATGGTTGGTTCTTATGTGTAAGTTTATGGTGGTATGGTCTGTAGAGGATAAAGCTTCCACACTATGTAAAGGAGACCGGAGAAACAAAGGAACTGGGTTTGGAGATAAGAAGTGGGAACTTGAATGGCTTCCTTATCCACTTCCGTTGTAGCTTCGGCTTCGTCGCGTTTATGGAATCCTGCTGCTTCCAGCGGCAAGATTTGCGTTCCTTCTGCTTCGCTTTCTCTGCGTACCGGTTCTAGACGGACTCCGTCTTCTCTCACCTCTTCCGCTTCTTCCCAACTGCTTCATTGCTCGTTTCTCTCGTCGCCTCTTTCCCTAGCGTCTCCATTTTCTGGTACATCTTCAAATTGGTTCGAATTATTGTTTGTGTTTAGCTTCTGGTGGTGTAATGTATCCTGTTTTTTACCCAATTTTGATTTTTTTCTGGTTCTTTGGGTTTGGTGGATTTATCACTGTTCCCGTGTGTTAGACTCTAGCTTACTTTACAAACCTAAATAATTCGAAGTTTTTTTTTAGGAGAATCTGGGAATTGTGAAACATAGTTGTCAATGGTGAATTCGATTTGGGAGTGAGTGAAAGAAGCCATTTTGTTTGTTTCTGATATTTCTTGTTAACTTTATATCAACAAGTGAAGATAACATTTTGCAACTTAAGCCTCACTTTCTGATATCTTAGCTCATGTAGTTGTAGCCGCAAATAATGTTGTTTGATTTTCGGTACAAAAACCTTTTAGCTCATGGCGATTATTTAGGTACAATGGTTATAGATTCGCTCACAGATTTGCTTCAATATGTCACATGAACTTGTCCCTCCTCCTTTGATCATAATTTTCTTGTAAAGTATATTGTACGACCATTGTAACTAGGCTAAGATTTGAGCAGTGAATTATAAGCTTTGCCAGTTTAGCAACAGACGTTATGGTTAGTTGATAGCTCAAGGTTAAAAGGGTACCTATGGAATGCATTAAAGTCATTTTGGATTTGTCTTGAGTCTTGATTCTGGGCAGTGTGTCGAGAGTTTGGTATTGTATGGTGAGTTCTTTGGGTAATTAAAGGAAGGAGTTTACCGGTTCCAATATTATCAGCTTGATACACTATCAAACCTATAATGTCACATTGATCAAAATGGTGTTGCTGTCTTTTCAGGTTTGTCCATTGCGTTTGATCTCAGCAGTCAAACTAGTGGACTGAATGGCCAGAGACGCAGAGGCCTTGTGGTGAGAGCTGGAAAAGCTGCTCTGTGTCAAACTAAGAGAAGCAGATCAAGAAAATCTCTGGCTAGGACTCATGGTTTCCGTAGAAGGATGAGGACCACTAGCGGTAGAGCAACCATAAAGCGCCGACGTGCCAAGGGACGTTGGAACCTCTGTCCTAAGTCCAACCCTAGCAGCGGCAAACGGGCTTGAAGTTTGTTTCTCTCTTCACTCTATCTGTAATCTTGTTTATGTGCTTTTTTTCCACCAGAAGATACAATGAGAAACATGGTTCGTTGAGCTCTTTTCTGCGTTTTAACTCTCTTGCATCCTTGATTCGTTTATAAATCAATGTTCTTGGAATCCATCACAGGTATTACTATAGTACTTGCTTCATTCAATTTGTTTCTAACAGAAGGAATAACTTCAAAGTCAAAAATTACTTGCTTCTTAATCCAGCGACACTTACCTTAACATTCATTTATACATACGGACGATATGTGACAAGATTGCCACTTGGTGGGCATCGAACGTAACAATGCCTACCTAAATGATTGATGTATAGTTTGGGTTCAATCCCTGAAGGATTTTACTTTAAATCTTACTAGTGTTCATTTTTTAAACCTATACAATAATTTTCAGTTTTAAGTACTACTAACCTAAACCTAAATTGTACTATTATTTAAAAAGTTTAGGTTAAGAGAAAAAAAAAAACTAAATATGAGAAGGTAACTTCTTATTGGAAATTAGGGAGGGATCAGATTGTGTAAAAAAGAGAGCGCCCAATAGTCGTAACAGGCTTTGGGCGGAACGCTCTTCTCGCAATATAAGCGAGTTTTTACCATTCATCATATCCCCTTTAACTTGCCTGAAGGATCATGCCTTTAACGTAATTAGCTCTTTCTTTTTTATAGGCATGTTACTACCATCACTATCTCTACCTAAACGATGTGGGACATTTGTTTGAAATAAGGTTTCTTATCTCAAATTCATATATCTTTGTTTTTTAAAGTGGGTCTATAAAAGGCCTCTGTAGCTCTCTTTTTTTAAGGTGGGCCGATAAAAGGCCTCTGTATCCTTTTTTTTTTTTTTTTTTTTTTTGTCTACAATGTAATAGTCTAAAGTTTTAAACCTATCTAGATGAATGAGCTATTTATCAAATATTCGATCCGTGTCACTCCTCTACTCATCAAACTCTTCATAGGAAGGAAAGTCTCCGGTCATAACATAATTCACATACGTTATTATGTTTAAAAGGTGTATGATGTGATGGACTAGCTAGTAGCTAGTAAAAGCCGTGAGTAGGATCTTAGGACGAGATGGCATGAGAATTCCATTTCTATTGCATATTGATGTTCGTGAAATGGTTGATATATGTTTACATTGAGCAAAACACAACTAAACTCAGCTAAAGTCCAAACACGCGATTTTTTTTTTTTTTTTTTTTTTTATATAGTGAATTCTATCCATCATATTACATGGAAAATATCTGTAATTTTTCCAAACTTATCCAACCACCAAAATGCACTTTAAAACTGATGAAAAGTGCAACCAGACTAGTGACACACATTCCATCGAATGAAGAGAAAAGAAAACCCACCAAAAACAGATTATCCAAAAGTGATCAAATCCAACAGATTGTTGGTTATCCCGACACGCCAACAAACTTGTCCTTGGGGATTGCATTTTAAGAGAAAACGGTTTCTCATAACCGTTGGAAATTATATATAGTCTATATATTCATATGATAGTTTCTAATATATAATAATATTATTATTTCAAATTTACATTATAAATAAGAGTTATCTGACACATGATGTGAAAGTCACCTAAAATGATGTTTAAAAAAAAATTGATGTTAGTTACTACTTAGGAGAAACCGTTTATGTTATTCTAGTACTTTTGAGTTTTGTATCAACAGAAAAAAACAAAAATTATTATTAATGCAGACAAAAACAGAGTACACGTATAAAAAGAGCTCAGCTTCGCTTTGAACTGACGATGATGATGACCAGTCCCACAACAGAATTATTAACTAACTAGCAAAACATAGAATACATGATGAAACATCGATCAAAGCTACATTGGTTATGATTGGTAACCTGTACCGATGTAGTACTAAAATCGATACAAAAAAACACTTTCAGCTTTTTGGTATCGTTATCTCGTATACCTTATCCCTTTTAACTAGTTATATATTGATTACTGTTTTGTGTACGGCAAAAAAAATTGTATCATTTTGTATTACCAATCGGATCCATTAACCATAAGATTCATGACATCTGTAATTTTTTTTGTAAATAGTGACATGATAAATACTAATCGACTGGGAATTTGCTACAACAATCAAAGCAAGAAGAGAGATTGAAATTCTGTTACATATTGTCTTAACTTATTTATTCTACTGTCTTCATTACGATAAATGGACATTACAGTTTCAAAAGGTCAAGCTTAAGTTGCGATGAAGATTTAGACCTCATCTAAACAATTCATAAAAACCAAACCACATGATGATCACTTCAATTCAAATAATCTAACCGAATTAGTTACGCAACCGGATAAGAAGCATACTGAGCTACACCACACATGCCTTGAGGCCATGCCACATCTCTACGAATTCTAATGTAACCATTCTCTCCCCAAGTCTTACCCCAAGAGTTCTTAGCCAACCAGTACTTCATCCCTTCCGGGCTCGTGCCGTAGCCAACGAGCGTCACTGCATGATTTACGCTAGTCCCACAGTTCCGCGCATTGTACACTCCCCCAGAGTAATGAACGAAACCGGCCTCACTGGCATCAATGGCCACTGCGACAGGTTGTCTTGACACGGCTTCGAGTAACGCACGCTCGTTGTTGCTTGGAACGTTTTCGAACCCTCTGATTAGTATGGCGGCTCTAGCGTTGGACCGGCATGGGCCCTCTTTCACTTGGTAAGGGTATTCGTTTTCTGAAGAAATGCCTCGGTGTTTAATTATGTAGTTGAAAGCATTTACAAATGTTCCTCCCTTGCAACCATTGTTCTGCTCTCTGGTGCAATCTAGAAGTTGTTGTTCGGATAGTGATATGAGGTTTCCACGGGCAATCTTTGTCAGACCTTCCACCGCTGCTATCGCTGAGAATGCCCAACAACCTCCTGCTCATATATATTTATAGGTTACGTGAGGAATAAGTTTTCTAAATACGGAGTGTAATTATCCAGCCGTTTCATACATTACATTGCTTCCAAATTTCATACATGTAGAGACAGATTATATATAAAGATGACAAGCTTACCACATTCTCCTTGGGATTTAACAGGTGTTACGGCTCCTTCGTTTCTCCAATCTTTGTTCGTGCCAAGGACATCACTGACGGTCCAATTCCAAGCTGGCTTCGTTTCATTAACCACTTCGAATGGTGAAGTTACATTAACGCCTCTGAGACCGGTGTAGGTGGCAAGGAACTCCTCTTTAGTCCAATCTGTGAACTCGTTAACACCAAGTTTGTAGCTTTGATTCCCCATATTATTGAAGCTCTCAATGAATTTCAAATTTTCCGCGAGCACTTGAAGCCTCAACTGTTTCTCAAATTCATCGTCATAAACTCGAGAAAATTGAATCATCCATTGCTGGTGGTAATCAACAATGGATGATGGCTTGTACAAAGCGACACGAGATGTAGCTTCAGAGATCTTTAGATCCATGAAAAATATGGTTAGAACAACACACACAAACTCTACGAAGTCCATTTTTGTTTCGGTATATGAAAAAAAATCGTTTACACAAAGATATGAACTTTTTTTTTTTATACGTAAAGAGTTTGTGTTGTGGTGTGGTGTGGCGAAGAAGTGAGAATGGGGGGTATGATATTATATAGAGTGAGGAATGAGAGTTGTTACGTTGGAAGCAAATGCAAGTTGTCTATTGTGGTGATGTTATACTTTGCATTACTTCTTATCTTCGGAGGAACACCCTTTATCCATCTACATATTCATTTTTGCAGATATTTTGTGAAAGAAATCCTATAGTTGCTACTAGCATTTATTATTTAGTTTTACAAAATTTTAAAAAGATAATAACCAAACAATATCTTGCCTAATTTGTTTCTAAAAATCTCTACACAATCAAAAAACAAATTTGTGAATTTTACTCCACAAAATATGCATAAATCCGATTTATAACAAATATTTATATTAACATTTTGTATAGCAATAAAAATACTAATTTATAATAAATAAAATGTCACAAAAGTTATATACACATACAAGAAAAAGAACTAAATCAATCATCATTTAAGCCGTTGCTTTATTTAAATAAAAAAACACAAAAACTTGAAATCATATACTTTATATGATAAATTTAAAATCTATATTAGTAGTATAAATTTAAAATCATTCAAGGGACGGTATACCACATGTGAGATCCTAAAATTATTGGATTTATAATAGTAATAATTTATTTTCTTGGATTTTATAACATTAATAATTTAGCTAACAAGATAATATAGACGAATTTATATGGGATGACGGGTTTTGATCGATATTAATAAAGAAAGGTATATCACGGATGAAATCCTAAAATTAACAATCAAAATACAATTATACAACTTTAAACACAAAAAACTTTCAATATTAACAAAAAAAATATAACTTAAAATTTCAAAAAATTAGCTATAAAAAAACGGTCCACAGTATATACTGCGGATAAAATATTCAAAATTTTAAATGTATAAAAAATATTTTTTTTTGTATTTATACTTCAAAAATTGAAACCTAAACAATAGTAATCATATACTAAATAATACAGAAATAGATATATACATTTAAAATACAAATTAATATGATATATCTTTAATTAATCTTTAACAAATAATATTACATTTTTTAAAAAATACATTTTAAAAACAAATTTAGCCGCGCGATGTACCGCAGATTAAATTCTAGTTAATATTTTATTTTTATCAAGGATTACATGCATAGATACTTTTGGTTTTCTATTAAAATTAAAAATTAACTATGTATATATATAATCGTGGCTGATTAGAGATAACAATGATACAAGTTATTTTCTGAATTTTGTTTCCTATAGCTTTCTAACTTTTATAAGTTTAAATTTCAATTTAGGATTTGGGTTTATGAAACTAGATTTGGATTATAATTTTAAAATTGTATTTTAACTTATTAGTTCACATATTATTTTTTATTCTAATTTTATTTATGCATCATCAAACATATATTTTTTTTTGTAAAAGTATGAAATAACCGAAAAACCCAAAACCAAACAGAAACCAATTTGAACAAAACCGAGATACATATGTTTTTAATTATTTTATATGGTTTCAATCTTCATAAAACCAAAAACCTGTAAAACCATAATAAAAGCTAAACCGTAACCAAACCAAATTTTATAAACGGTTTCTATATGGTTTAGTTTTTAGAAAACCGAAAAACCATAAAACCAAACAAAAACCAAACTGAAAAACCGTATGCCCATCCCTACTTAAACCTGCATTTTTAAGATTATCTACCGTCAAAATGAAGACTCCTATTGGAGATGCCCGAATAACTTAATGCGATACAAGAATTAATAACTTGTAGAGAAACTATCCTCTCTGACAGTGCTGAAAGCTCATCTTTGGAGAAAGTTCATTCTTGGAAAAAGGTATGTCCATGTATTATATAAATTAAAAAACGTATTTTTAACTTAATGAGTTTTTTTAAATGCAAAATTTAAAAATTAAAGTGCAAACATATATAGAACTAAAGTGAATAAAAAAAAAACATTTTATTATTATAGGTTTGGGTATTGATTAATAACCTCAGGAATTCAATGTTATAATTTCAGGATACGATTTCAGGAATTCAAAACAAAATGATGCA